ACATTTTTCAGCATGTTGCTGCTGCCATTCCCATACACAAAACCTGTTATTCACCAAGGAATAATGGTAATCCAGATTGAAAATAAATTTCTCACAAGTATGAAACAAAGCCCAGTTCTTTAGCATTTGATTTCGCATTAAAGTATTTTAGCATTTGATTGTATAGTAATGGTTTCGTGTCCTTTCCTCGGTCCTTGGGTGTTTGTAATGGACTTGGATAGGCCTCTACAGGGAAAACATACATTCATGTTTCAGATGGACTTGGACAGGATTTGGCCCTCGACTAAACATGGTGCTACGAAGCACTTCACTCGGTTACAAGTGACAAAAAAGAATTGCACAAGCATCTCGGTGGCCACTATCATCCCAACTGCTGCTTCAGAAAATGTAGCTGGACTGGACATCGCACTTCATGTTTGGATTGACACGGCTGGGGGAGCATGCTACACCTATAAGTTAACTTGCTTGATCCTAAAAGTGTCATGTCTCTTGCAGAATGAATCATCCACCTAGCATGGGCTATGCTGTAAAATTGACTATTCTGACAGAGAATCACAATCTAGCTTTGTGTGGAGTTGTGTGGCAGTCTAGCTTTATGCCTCAACAGGTGCTCTTTGAGTTATCTCATTAAACCATAACCCAATGGTGTATTTGGGTTGGGTTGACCCAATACCCAGAGTGACTGAGTGGGCGAGTAACAAGTGAAAGGATTGATTGAGCGGCTGATTGGTCAAGTTATATTTGGTCGAGTGATATTTTAAGCAATGCCTCATTAACAAAAGAATCCATAAAATATATTCTATTATAATAAGACGTCGACTATTAGCATCATAAACTTATAAGCACGTGCTCTTATTTTTTGATGTTGAATTGTATTATTAGTCTTTTTTCCCAGTTTGGCCTATAATTTGAACTGCATTAAGATTTCTTCCACTTTTGCAACACAACATGCTAGCTAGATGGATCTGCTGCATTGTCACGTGCTCTTACCTAATTTTTTTATGTTGTATTAGTAGTCTTTTTTCCTGGTTTGGTGTGTAATTTGAACTGCATTAAGATTTCTTCCACTTTTGCAACACAACATGTTAGCTAGATGGCTCTGCTGCATTGTCAAACAAAGGGACTCATTTTTACTTTGTTTTTAGGGAGCATCTGAAGATTACATCTACATTCTTGTTCATGAACAGTATACTATTGTGCTAATTTATGTTAGAAAAATGCAAATAAACATATTAGCCCTTATTTATCATTGACATATCCATTTTAAGGATTGTGCAACAACTTATGGTCAAAGATCGGAAGGCCAACTGCTATCATGGTGTTTCGGAGCAACTAGGCAAGGTAGAAGAATGATCAAAATCTTGATGGAAAAGCTGTGCTGCAGCTTGTTCGAAACCTGTGCGGCAACAACGTATTCTTCTCCTTCCCCAGTGATTGCAGGTATGCACATGCTATTACTTGTAGGAAATTTTTATGTGTACCATAACATAAATGATAGTTCTTGTGAAAGAAAATTATCCTTTTAGTTGTGGGTTGGATTTTGATATGAATGTAAATATGGTGTTGGTGCTTAACAACCAACTCTTGTTGTAAATACACAATTTATTTCTACCTGAATTCTTGTCATATATTACATGAATTGAGAGGCAAATACATATTTTTATTTCTATCTGAATTCTTGTTATCTATTATATGAATTCTCTCGAATGTGCATTATTATTACTTGAAATTTTCATTGTAATAACTGCTTTAGGAATGACCATTTTTGTGGACACGTGCGTGTCACACGTGCCTATCCACTAGTATATACAAAGAGTCGAAGACTTTATTTTAACATAGAGGGATGGCTCGTTGCTATTTGTCCATTATTGTAGATAATTAAAGACAGAAAAAGGCCCTGAAATTTCATGACAAATAAGCGTAGCAGATAGCACCTTGATGCTTTGGTCAATGGAGGATCTAGTGATGGAGTGAGGGGGTTCTATGCACCCCTACCCACGCCCATTCAAAACCAACGAACGCAGAACTGACTACTCTCTACTGTTTGGGTTGCAAAAGTGCCAAACCTATCCAGCTCGACCATGAACAGGGCAAGCTAACTTAGGCCAAGTATATATTATTGACACATTATTAGCACGTGCCTAGCTCTGAGGATCCAGTTGAACTCCAGGGTTTTGTATGACCTAACATAGGCCCTGATTGTCTTGGAACAGTATTTCATAGTGTCACAGAAATGCAACGTCTCTTTGCGGAGGCTCAAGAACTTATTCAGACCAAACTCATGAGGCCAGTTTCAAACCTAGAGTGTAGAGAGAGAGGGGAACCGAAAGGTAAATAGTTATGTAGGAAATGACTTATTGTGATTATTAGAGCTATAATGAAGGATACTGATGACTAACTTCTTAGACATATATTAACGGGTATAATGAAGGTACATATGCAACTTTCTTGTGGGTGCATGGACTTCGACCATGGAGGGTGTATATATGGTAAAATTTTAGTCTTTATCACTAAATCTGGATTTGTTTTTTTGAGGGGGCGGGGCATATGCACCCACAACTATGTAGCAGTGGTCGTTTGCAATTTGAGATTCAACACCTACCAACTCGACCGTTTGCAATTATGTAGCAGTGGCTGTCTTTCGTGCAACAGATTCCACGATGGATCCCTCACTTATATAATTAAAGTGGGGAACATCCAAGCCGTTTCTTCCATCTCGCTAGCAGAAGCAAAAGTACATGTGTCCTGCTCACTCAAGAGTTCACCCCTGCTACTCCAATTCCAATAATCCGCCCGCACAAGAAGCAGCAGCAAGTCCCAGCAGTATGGCTCCCGCCGCCGCTCCCCTGCGGCTACAGGTCGTTGTCCTAATCTGCTTCCTGCTCTGCTCTTCTGCTTCCTGCTCTGCTCTACTACTCTTGTGGATGATGATATGATGAGCGCCACCTTGCCACCATCACCAAGAGCAATGCTGATGGCAGTCAGTCATGGGGATATGTTGAAGTTCGAAACAGTAAGTAACCACAAATTAAGCGTGTTACAGGCGTTTAATTTTAACCATGGAGGGTGCATATATGGTAAAATTTTAGTCTTTATCACTAAATCTTTTTTTTTTGGAGGGGGGCATATGCACCCACAACTACATATGTAGCTTCACCCCTATGAAAACTGACTTGTTAGTGTATGTTCCTCTATCATTTCACCCATTCTGATAAGACTGATACGTAAATGTTTGGCGTGCTATGGCAAATTGATTTGCTAGTGTCTGTTCCTTTATCATTTCACCCATTGGCGGAGCTGGTGAATCTCCAAGCCTAGGGCCACTAGCTAAGTGCAAAAAGAAAATTAAAATCCGAGCCAATTATCAATTGTAACACTGATGTGGTGAAGTGGGTCTATACCTTTATAGAAGGGCTTGAAGTGGAGCTGTCCAAGGTAATTGTTCCCTCTATTGTTCTGGTATTAACATTTTAAAATTACGTTGTTAGTCCCCTGAGCTCAGCCCTTCACTAGTATGAAGCATCAACAGACAATTCTTACTTGTAACTTTCTTTAAGTTACAAGTCAGAGGATTCAATCGGAGATCCACCTATCAAATGGACAAATCAGAATATTTCCTACATGATCGTATTAAATAGCTAGAATCTGAGGATTCAGAGGAGAGAACCATGATTCATGAAGTTGATTTTCTGAATTCTGAGAGGTACTCAAGAGTGGGACAATATGCTTGAAAGAATAAAAATGCACCTGACGTGTAGTGTCTCACCAGCTACCACTAGATACAGGGGAAACTGAAGTATATTACTCTCTCAGAGGCGCATCCCTCCATGGCATGCAACAATTGTCCCAACTCAGCAGAATTGGATATTTATGTTTTTTTTTTGGATAATTCTGTATGTTAAGGGCCTATAGATGGATTTGCCCCAATTGCATCAAAGCTGAAAGTCATGCTTTTGTTGTTGTTGGCGCTTCCTTTGTATGTTGTTAAATATATAAACGGTTATATCCCTATGGTTGATACCTATGCGTGTGACTCTGAATTTGATTTCGATAGGGGCATAACTGCAATAGTTGCACTTCAATGTGTGGAACCTACTCATAGTTTAAATAGACATATTGCCCAAAATGTGGTTGCAGTGTATACGTGCAGACTCAAATTTCTTGTTAGTTCTTTATCCTAGTCGAGTTCATCTCACTGAACATTTGAATGCAGAGTCAGCAAACTTTCAGAATTTCCATGTTGAATCTTTAAACAGGTAGTGCCGCCTGCTCAATGTGTCAAATTTTAGCAAATCGTTTTCAGACTTCAGAGTGAATCATCAGAGCGGACAACTTGAAACTTGAGGTACATTTATATTTTCTGAACTTGACTACTTGAGCATTTAAAATACTTAATTTCAGGACAGTACAAAGTAGAACATTGAAATTTAAGTGTAATTTCATTGCATCGAAAATAATTTGAGATTCAATATACCTAACCAAGGCAGTTTTCGGCTGGCATTTTGTGGCTGGCTGGTTGGCTTCTTTTTCCAGCCGGAGCAGTGTTTTTCTCTCACAACATTCCGGTATAAACAGTATTTTCCAGCATGAACAGGAAAAAAATCAGTCCAGCCTGAACACTCCCCAAATTTCTCAAAGAACCATCGATGTGAGTCATGCAAAATTTTCAGTTTATTAAAAGCGTACGGAAGATTTGCATCGTGTCTAGTCTTTGCTCAAGTTTGTGCGGTGGCAAATGCATGATGCTCAGAATCCAGTCCAGAATTAGTGTTTCCTGAACTGAAACCATACCTATTATACTGAACTAGCAGGAAATTTGGGATCCGAAATGTGACACGAAGAAGACAAGACACACGGCCCGGGTAAGCTACTACTGAACACTGTAACCAACAGTGACACTTTTTGGACCCACATGCAGACACACACAAGCAGAGGCATCACCATCATCATCGATCGATTTTTGCCTGGATGGGAAGAGGATAATACTCAAAACGGACACCTCAGTCGACCTCCTCCATCTTGCTCTCCTCGGCGGCGCCCTCCTCAAGCGCGGGCATGTCGGCGTCCTCGTCGGCAGCAGCATCCTCGTCGATGTTGAGGCCGAGCTTGAGCATCCTGTGGATCCTCGCCGCGAACGTGTTGGGGTCGTCGAGGCTGAACCCCGAGGTGAGCAGCGCCGTCTCGAAGAGCAGCAGCACGAGGTCCTTGACCGACTTGTCGTTCCGGTCGGCCTCGGCGCGCTTCCGCAGCTCCTCCATGATGCCGTTGTCAGGGTTGATCTCCATGGTCTTCTTGGAGGACATGTAGGCGCCCATACTGGTGTCCCGCAGCGCCTGCGCCTTCATGATCCGCTCCATGTTGGCCGTCCACCCGTACTCGCCGGTGACGAGGCAGCACGGGGAGTCGACGATGCGGTCCGACACCACCACCTTCTCGACGCGGTCGCCCAGGATGTCCTTGATCACCTTGCAGAGGTCCTCGAACTGCTTCTTGCGCTCCTCGCGGCGCTTCTTGGCCTCCTCGTCGTCCTCGTCCAGCTTGAGGCCCTCCTTGGTGGCCGACACCAGCTTCTTGCCCTCGTACTCCTTGAGCTGGCCCACGGCGTACTCGTCGATGGCGTCCACCATGAAGAGCACCTCGTAGCCCCCTTCTTGAGCCGCTCCAGGAACGGCGAGTTCTCCACGGCCTTCTTGCTCTCGCCCGTGATGTAGTAGATGTCCTTCTGCCCTTCCTTCATGCGCGTGACGTAGTCCTTGAGGCTCGTCATCTCGTCGCCGCTCTTGGTGGAGTGGTAGCGCAGCAGGTCGGCGAGCTTGGCGCGGTTCTGCGAGTCCTCGTGGATGCCCAGCTTGATGTTCTTGGAGAAGGCGTCGTAGAACTTGGCGTAGTCCTCCTTGTTCTCGGCGATCTCGAAGAACATCTCGATGCATTTCTTGACGAGGTTCTTGCGGATAACCTTGAGGATCTTGTTCTGCTGCAGCGTCTCGCGGGAGATGTTGAGCGGCAGGTCGTCGGAGTCGACGACGCCCTTGACGAAGCCGAGCCACTCCGGGATGAGCTCCTCGCAGTTGTCCATGATGAAGACGCGGCGGACGTAGAGCTTGATGTTGTTGAGCTTCTTGCGCGTGTCGAACAGGTCGAAGGGCGCGCGGCGGGGCACGAACAGGATGGCCTTGAACTCCAGCTGCCCCTCCACCGCGAAGTGCTTCACGGCGAGGTGGTCCTCCCAGTCGTTGGTGAGAGACTTGTAGAAGGAGGCGTACTCCTCGCGCGTGATCTCCTCGGGCTTGCGCAGCCAGATGGGCTTCTGCTTGTTGATCTGCACCCACTCGTGCGTCACCTCCTTCACCTTCTTCTTCTTTTTCTTGCTGTCCTTGTCGTCGTCGTCCACCTCCTCGACGTCGCCCTCCTTCTTCTCTTTGCTATCCTCCTCATCCTCGCCGTCGCTGATCTCCTTCTCGGTGGTCTTCTCGGTCCAGAGGTAGATGGGGTAGCTGATGAACTCGAGTGCTTCTTGACGAGGTCCTTGAGGCGGCGCTCCTCGAGGTACTCAGGCTGGTCGTCCTTGAGGAAGAGCGTGATCTTGGTGCCCCGGCCAAGCCGCTCCCCGTGGTATCGAGCGTGACGGTGAAGGAGCCACCGGCTTGGGACTCCCAGACGTACTGCTCGTCGTCGTTGTGCTTGGTGGTGACCACGACCTTGTCGGCGACGAGGTAGGCGGAGTAGAAGCCGACCCCGAACTGGCCTATCATGGACACGTCGGTGGCGCCCGCCGCCAGCGCCTCCATGAACTCCTTGGTGCCCGACCGCGCGATGGTGCCGAGGTTGTTGACAAGGTCCGACTTGGTCATGCCCACGCCGGAGTCGATGATGGACAGCGTCTTGCTGGCCTTGTCCGGGACCAGCCGGATGAAGAGCTCCGGCTGCGCGTCCAGCTTCGACTTGTCCGTCAGGCTCTCGAACCGGATCTTGTCAAGCGCCTGCAATGCCATTGCCATGGTTTAGATTGTTGTTGGTGTAAACTGTAAAGCAGAGCATTTCAAACGTCGAAACAGAGCAGCTGAACAAAATGAAAACAGAGCATCGATTGATCAAATGAATTGATCAGCAAAGAATGAGGATTGAGGAACTTACATCTGATGCGTTGGAGATGAGCTCCCTGAGGAAGATCTCCTTGTTGGAGTAGAAGGTGTTGATGATGAGGGAGAGAAGCTGGTTGATCTCGGCCTGGAACGCGAAGGTCTCCGTCTCCGCGCCGCCGGCCATGTGCACGTCCGCAGACGCCATGCCTGCTTGTGCTTGCTCTCGACGAGACTGTTGTAGGAGAATCGAATCGAATGGGCAGGATCCCTGAAAGGGAGGCGATCGATCGCTCAATTGATGCTTGCTTGGTTTGCTGTCACGCCGAGGTCGGACGAACAGATGGCTGCCTTTATAGGAGGGCAGTGGATGGATCAGGGAGGGAGGGTTCGCAGGTGTTCCAGTGTCTTCGCAAGCTTTCCCGTGCTCACCGCAGCGTCCTGCCCTGCTCTGTTTCGCGCACTCCCGGCTGTTCCAGAGCCTTCGCCTCTCTCTCTCTCTCTCTCTCTCTCTCTCTGTTCGGCGTGGCTGTGGGACGGCAGGGGACATCCCAGCCGCTTTCCCGAAGCTTCTGCGGGTTTCTTGTTTCTGGGACGATGGAAGGGGGAGCCCAACGCAACGGATCAAATTGACTAGAGGCCCAGTTCGTTGGTTCCATTTGACTATGCTCATGTATGGGCCGGATTACCATTTCAGATGAAAAACTCGTGGGCCAAATTAGGTTAAACTTACTGTTTTAGATATATGTTGCAAGTATTTTATATAGATTTTACAAAAGTATATTGGGATATTGCATATGTTGCAATGGCTATCTGGCGTATGTTTCGAGTGTATGTTCTAAATGTTTCATATGTATCGAGGGCGTATGTTGCAAGTTTTTTTTTTCATCCGAATGTTGCAAAAGTTGATATAGATGATTGCATATACATGCATGTTACAAGCATATGTTTCAATGTTTGGTGTTTCATACGTCGATTGCAAGTGTTTCATCTAGATGTTGCACATGTTTGCAATGACTTTCAAGTGTTTTGCAACTGCTGTTTCATACACATGTTGCAAGTGTTTCAAATTTTTGGGCGTATGTTGCAAGTGTTTCATCCGGGTGTTACAAAAGTAGAACCGATGTTACACATGTTGCAATGGGACCCACCTGCCAGAATCGATGGGTGACGTCAAGGCGACGCGGGCCCGTTGCTGGGGCGCCGCCAAGAGGGTGCAGACGGGCGCGTGAGAAACCGAGCCCAAGCATGGGGCCCACGTGGTGGGGTGCGCGAAAAAGCAGTGGCCTTGAGCTCTCTTGCTTGGCAGCACCACCATCTGATGCTAGCGTCCCATACCGGACGTCCGGTGCTAGCAATTCCACTTTAAAAATCAATAAGGCCATCTGTTTTCTATAACAAAAGGCCATCTATTGTCAGTGAGAACTAGCTGGAACGAGCGTTATGATCCTTGAGCTACTCAATGCTCTGTAAAAAAATTGTTGCTGTTGTAAAAAAATGCTCTGTGATTTAGCATAGAACAGGAGCCAAGATGCTTTCCTACCTGAAAAAAAATGGTTCGCAATTGTTGCACATTGGCTTCTACGGGTTTTATGGTTCTGGGATATGGCCATGCACTGTTTGTTATGCTCGCTATTACTGGCCGGAAAACTAAATTTGGAATTTGAAATGTTGACCGGTTGCTATATACTCCTCTATCTCTATTTATTTGTCGTTATGGTTTATGCGTGCTGCTCAAACTTTTTAAAGTTTGACTAGATTTGTAGAAAATATTAGCAATATTTATATCTCCAAACAAATTTATTGTGAAAATAGATTCGACAATCTATCTAATGATACTAATCATGCACTATAAATATTAATATTTTCTTGTATATATCCGGTCAAAGTTGAGTATTGTCGGTGTTTTTGAACAAGCACCGGCTAGTAAATTTATAATTATGCGTTAGGCCCGGATGGTGCGCTAAAAGACACAAGGTTTATCTTGGTTTTGGGCTGAATGTCCCTACATCCAGTCTGTTGCTGCTCCTGTTATTAGCGCTAAAAGTGGTTTGTAGTAGGGGGTACAAACGGTCGAGAGAGGGACTGGTCCCAGGTCTCTGATGGAAGGGTCGAAAGGAGGCCAAGAGCCTGACGGCGGCTTGGCTGTGTATGTGAGTTGAACTGAACCCTCTATGAGTTCGCCTGCATGTGTGAGTTGTTCGTTGAAAGTCGGTCCCTTCGGTGGGGAGGGAGCCCTTTCCTTTTTTATAGACAAGGGGGAGCAGGGGTTATAGATGGGAGAAAGAGGAAAATACTAAGGGTATAGAAGGTCCTTCGAAGGATTCGGGTCTTCCTTTTTCCAGCCACCTCAGATAACATGGCGATGCGATGTCGAAGTGGTGTGTTCGGTGATCTTCGTAGGCCATGCCCTGGCCTCTTTTAGCAAGTGGGTACGTCCCATCCCGCCCCTACGGGCGGCGTGTCGGACAGGGTTGCTGAATCCCGACCCCGTAGGGAGCGGATGTCGCGGTGACTGCTTGTTCTGCCATTGTAGAGGACGGGAGTCTCTCCTTAGAGCGTAGTGGTTGTCGTATGTCCGTGTCGGGTTCTTCTCCTGGTGGTTTGAAGATGGCGCCTACAACACTGTAGGGCGAAGAGCACGCGTCTGCAACACTATTCAGGCTCTGTTACGCCTGGAAGGGTCTAAGCACCCGTCCTGTCATGTCCTGACGGTACTTTCCTGCAGGGGTGCAGGACATGGTCTTTTTGTGCCATGGTTGACCCGAACGTCTTGTCTTACCCTGTGCCTATCATCATGAAGGAGCGGGGTGCGGTTGTCAGGCGAGGCGGAGCCAATCCTTGGACATCGGGCGGGGCGAGGTCCGTCAGGCGAGGCGGAACCTAGCCTTTGGGGGTCGGGTGAGATGGAGCCCGGCCCTCGGGGGTCGGGCGAGGTGGAGTCTAGCCCTTAGCCCTCGGGCGAGGCGGAGCCGTCCCCCAGCCGTCGGGGGAGGCGGAGCCGGCTGACGGGCCTCGGGCGAGGAGGAGTCTAGCCCTCAGCCCTCGGGCGAGGTGGAGCCGTTCCCCAGCCGTCGGGGGAGGTGGAGCTGGCTGATGGGCATCGGGCGAGGCGGAGTCAAAACTCCCATCGTTCGGGCAAGAAGCGCAGCGGTGCTCTTGTCCGTTCGGGAGTTTTTAACGTTCGATGGTTATTTAGTTCCATCTCCTTGGGTACCCCGGTATTAGGTTCCCGACAAGTATGTTTGACTTTTTGATAGCGAGAACAGCAGATAAAAAGGGTCGGAGGGAAGGGAGTACAAGTCAACACCTTTTGTGTTTATAAAAACATTCAAAATTTTCATTTAAATGTTGAGCTAGTTTCCAAATTGTTGAATGGGGTTTTGATATTTTTAAATTAATTTGTTTAAGTATTGATAAAGACTAACTACCGTGAGGTGATCACAAGTGACAAAGAAAAGAGAAAAGTAAAAAAAAAAACAGCCAGGTGCCTTGCCAGGCTAACCTTTACGATCTGGGCCGACATCTGCGATCTAGGCTGTCACCTTTGTTCATCAGCTTCTGCGTTTAAGTGTGGCCCGGTCCGGAAACTGTACATGGGCTTGGTGGGCTATAAAATATATGTACTCCAAACAACATTTACAATTCTTGTGTCTATCGTGAAATTCTTTTCTACGATCTGAATTTCCTTTCCACATCCTCTGAGCTTACGAGTCTCATCCAATGGTGAAAACCAATGGAAAACTATTAGCACAAATTATTCTGACTACAAATAAAGTGTTCTTATTGAATCCACTGCACCACTCTTTTTTAACTCATCCGAGCTTATGGAAAGTGGCCGAGGGTGAGGTGAAACAGGGCGCGAGGGCAACTTATGTCGTGTTTGGTTCGATAACTTTGAGACGTTATCCATTCACAAGGCAATCTGAATCTGTCAAATTTATATACAAGTTAATGGTTTACTTTATATTACCTTTCGTAATGGCGTATGTAGGTAATTTCAAGTAGTTTTGGGTTACTTTTGCAACATCTTTTATAATGATAGATGTGTGACACTACGGATTCAGCTTTTTTTGCGAGTGCCTCGGGCACTTTCGGCAAAAGGCCGATATACACTTTCGGCAAAGCCTTTGCTTTGAGTGTTACACTTTCGATAAATGGCGCTAGGTAAATAATTTATCGGTAAAGACCTCTTTATCGAGTGCACTTTATCGGACACTCGGCAAAAGCTTTGCCCGGTGATAATCGACACTCGGCGAAGAAAAGTTACCGTGACGGCGGCGGCACCGTGGCAACAAAGCCTTTGCCGAGTGCTAAATCGACACTTTCGGCAGCGATTTTTTTTTGAAAAATATAAAAAATCCGCCGCCGCTGCCTTTCCGCGTCGCGGCGCGTGATGGATCCTGTGCGCGTCTGCGTGGTGATGATCTGCAGCCTCCACCCAGCGGCCGTGGTCGGCGAGGGCTACCGGGGCCGGCTGTGGGCTCTTCGCCGTCCCTAACGGCCTTGACGTGCGGCGTCGGCGGGGCCCCGGTTCGAAGCTTGCGGTTGATGGCGTCAGCAGCGCGTAGCGGCGCGTCGTTCTGCCGCGAACCGCCGGACCTTGCCGAGCTCCTGCACGTCACCTTCAAGAACTGCCAAGTGGCAAGCGGGCGACAAGCGCATCAATTCGAGGAGAGAGCGGGTGCAGCGGGAGAGGAGAGACCTTCAGCGGCAACCAGACAAAGAAGCGGACCCTTCCGTGGGATGAAGATGTACAAGAAGGTTCGTGGGGCTCTATCAAAGGGGAGGAGAGCGGGTCTTACCGATTGCGGTGGAGGAGGAGAGTCGCCGCCATTGTCCTTGCCCTAGTCATTGCGCGTCGCCGAAGCTGCTGCGCTTCGCCGCTCCATCGCAGCCACATGTGACTCGCACCCAGCCGGGTGAGCTGCCCACCCTCGGATTTGCTCGATCGCTGCGCGTCGTCGTGCGGTTATATAGTATAAGCGACTTTGCCGAGTGTCCTAGATTTGACACTTTCGAAAAGCGATGTTTGCCGAGTGTTCTAGATCGACACTCGGCAAATGATTTTTTTATTTTTATTTATTTTTTTGCGAGTGTCCTAGATCCGACACTTGACAAAGCGAGGTTTGCCGAGTGTTCTAGATCCGAGCACTTTCGATAAAGGTTTTTTTTTTTTTTTCTCCTTCTTTTCTAGAAAAAGATTTT